AAAAAACGAGGAAAAAATGATTAAAAAACAAGGAAAATCTGATTATTTTTAAGAAAAAAGAGTGTGAAATTTAAGTGGGACTTGTGTTTCTAAATGAACGACCTCATGTTGTGTAGCTTTCTGGATTTTAAACTTATTGGACTACATACTTATTTATTATACAGGCTATACAGTACATAAAATTTGCATTTTTTTTATGTAACTGAAATGTTTAATTGTGTGGGCTAAAGAAAACAAGAAAGTTATAGTATATTTATATGAAACATGCGTAAACTTACTGTATTTGATGTATTTTAATGATATATAATACATAATACATAATGTAACACCTGGTTATGTGTAAAAAACGGCTTTGATTTCCCCACCCCATTTGATTTCCATGCAACCTTCATACCACCCTAAGAAAATTTCTCTAGATCCACCCCTGTTTCTGGGTTATACTTCTGTCAGACTATCACCATCATTGCTGCTCCAGAATTCCCCAACAGATTTCCACCTATGGCCACATCCTTCACCTTTAAAGTTTTGACTTGTTTGTAAGTTTTTCTGTTTATAAAAACCATCGTTAAACCACAGAACATTTCTTTAACTTTATCTAGCACTTCAAAGTGCAAATGTTTTGACCGTGGAGTGATGCTAACTGAACAAACCCGCTGAAAAGCTGTTTTAAGTGTACGTTGCTTTGACACGGTGCTCTGCGCTATCCAGTTGCTATGCTGTTAGCGCCCTTGGTTACCATTATTTCCCATAATGCACCGCTTCTGAGAGCGCTTTGAGGTTCTTAACATTTAATAATGTAAACCTGGGCTTTGACATAAGGGGAAAACAGAGTGCTACAGTTGACAGGTTACCATAGCAGTCTTTAGTGAAACGAAGCGAAAACACCTCGCTATTAGCTTCACGGCTAACCATAATGTTAGCGAGCTTCTTGGCTGTTTTTTGCTAACACCATTTTAGCACACGACGGTGGATGCAAACCCCAAACTATGCTAATTACAGCTGGCGAATAGCAGCCCTGGACTAATGGTAAAGTCTGACTTGGGCTTTTAACGTCTTTTAGGTGTGTGGATGATAAGAGTACTAACTTTGGTGACTGAAGCTGGTAAACAATGGAGAAGGAACAGTACAACAGCGTGGTCTTCAATGCTTCAAAAAGAGAGCTTTTTACTACGAACAATGGCTACAAATCCATGCAGAAGAGACTAAAAGCTCAGTGGAAAATCCAAA